CTTAAGTAAGCCAGTTCTATTCCTTATCTCTGTTTTTATTTCAGTTACTGTTCAGATCTCTCAAATACCTGATGTAGAATCCTGTCATGTATTCAAAGCTTCTTATAATTTCCATTTTATTCCAGAACAAAAAAATAAAAAAGTGGTGCTTGTTTAGTTGGGTTTTAAGTCAAAGATGAATATAGCATGCATTATTAATAAACATTTGATTGTCCTGGATTTAACTTGCTTGAAAAAGCGTAGCACATAAGGATTGGACAAGTAAATTGGGAAGTAATAAACACAATTAAGATAAAAGCAAAACTGGAAAATATTTTTTAAATGTTATGTGTGGCATGTCTAACTAACATGACTAATGAAACTGTTGAAATGAAGCCCTGAGTAATGCCTTAAAAATTCTGTTTGTCACAGATGGACCAGTCGTCTCCAACCTACATGCTTGCCAACTTAAGCCACTTGCATTCAGAACAGCTTCTGCAAGGCTTGAACCTCCTTCGCCAGCATCACGAGCTCTGTGACATTATCCTTCGAGTTGGCGATGTCAAGATCCATGCCCACAAAGTGGTGCTTGCCAGCATCAGTCCATACTTCAAAGCCATGTTCACGGGAAACCTTTCTGAGAAGGAGAACTCGGAGGTGGAGTTCCAGTGCATTGATGAGGCGGCGCTGCAGGCCATTGTGGAGTATGCCTACACAGGGACTGTGTTTATCTCGCAAGACACTGTAGAGTCACTTCTCCCAGCTGCGAATCTTCTCCAGATCAAACTGGTAGTGAAGGAGTGTTGTGCGTTTCTCGAAAGCCAGCTTGATCCTGGCAATTGCATTGGGATTTCTCGTTTTGCAGAGACCTATGGCTGCCACGACCTCTACTTGGCTGCTAACAAGTACATTTGTCAAAACTTTGAAGATGTTTGCCAGACAGAAGAATTTTTTGAGCTTACGCATTCTGAATTGGATGAAATAGTTTCCAATGACTGCTTGAATGTTGTGACAGAAGAAACTGGTTTTTTGTGCACTAGAGTCCTGGATCAAATATGATGTGCAGGCTTGGCACAGCTGCTACATTGTGTTCGATTGCCGCTGCTGAGTGTGAAGTTTCTTACGAGGTTATACGAAGCAAACCATCTCATTCGTGATGACCATACTTGTAAACACCTGCTCAATGAGGCCCTAAAATATCACTTTATGCCTGAACACAGACTTTCCCACCAGACCATGCTGATGACACGACCTCGCTGTGCTCCTAAAGTTCTTTGTGCTGTAGGAGGAAAAGCTGGACTGTTTGCCTGTTTGGAAAGGTTAGTAATAGCAAAGTCATTGCATTGAATTCAAAATGCATTTTGATTTAATGAGTAATCTTCGAAATTGCAGGGTTTTGTTTGTGCCAGCAGAAATAGCTATAAAATCTTACCATTTTAGTTCTGTTGATTTGAGAATTTGGTTAATAAAAGTGGTTAATAAAAAGTTTGTATGTTACTACTTTGTCCTTTCAGGTGTTTTCATTTTACATA